GTGGTGATGGGGACAGTGGTGAGGGGACAGCGGGACAGTGGTGGGGACAGTGGGACAGTGGTGGGGACGGTAGTGGTGGGGACAGTGGTGAGGACAATGGTGGGAACAGTAGGGACAGTGGACAGTGGTGGGGACGGTGGTGGTGGGGACAGTGGTGTGGGGACAGTGGGAATGAGGTGGAAACAGTGGGAAAGTAGAGGGTACAGTGGTGGGGACAGTGGTGAAGGCGGTGGCGAGGACGGCGGTGGGACAATGGGACAGAGGTACAGTGGGGACAGTGGTGCAGTGGGGACAGTGGTGGGAACAGTGGGACAGCTTAGTGGGACAGCGGAGGAGTCAGTGGGACAGTGGGGACAGTGGGGATAGTCGGGCAGTGGTTGGGGCCGTGGAGAAAGTGGGGAGAGTGGAACCCTGGTGGGAACAGTGGTGGGGACAGTGGGGACAGTGCGACAGTGGTGGGGGGCACTGGTGGGGAGAGTAGGGACGGTGGTGGAGCCAGTGGGGACAGTGGTGGTGAGGACAGTGGCGCTGGGAACAACAGTGGGGGATGTGGTGCGGACGGTGGTGGGGGGGGGGGTAGGGGAGGGGGGGGGTTTTGCCGGGGGAGGGGGAGGGAGGTGGGGGGGGGGGGGGGAGGGAGGGGGAACGGGGGGAACCCCCGGGTTCTGCAGGAAAAGTGCGGCAATTTTCCACAGTAAAGCGGCGGTGGATCACGCTCTCTCACATATACATATGAAACATATGCAAATACTTATCTTGTCCATATGCATAGACATACACATATATTTATGCATCTCACTATAAGAGAAAACACGCATCCATACATCCATCCAGACATCCATCCATCTATCCACATACATACATACACACATACATACATACATACATACATACATACATACATACATGCATACATGCATACATACATACATACATACGCACGCACATACATACATACACACATACATACATACATACATACATACATACATGCGCATACATACATACATACTTACCTGCATATGTATATGCATACAGGTATACAGACGTGCATGCATGCATATATACATACGTGCATGTATGTATATATACATACATACATACATGCATACATACATACACACATGCATGCATACATACATACATGCATACATACATGCATACAAACACACATACATACATACATACATACATACATACATACATACACACACATACATACATACATACATACATACATACATACATGCATACATGCATTCATACATTCATCCATTCATTCATACATACATACATACATGCATGCATACACACATACATACACACATACATACATACATACATACATACATACATACATACATACACACATTCATTCATACATTCATACATGCATGCATTCATACATTCATCCATTCATTCATACATACATACATACATGCATGCATACACACATACATACACACATACATACATACATACATACATACATACATACATACATACATACATACATACATACGTACATACGAACAAACACATACATGCATACATGCATACATGCACACGGCAGGGGTTCACATGTGTTATGGCTCTCGGGCCCAACAGCACGCACTGGCGGGATTAAGCAGATATCAGCGCTTCGGAATATTGGGGGGTTGGAAGTTCTGCGGTGCGGGCCAGCCCCTCGCCAAAAGGCGCGGGGAGCTTGCCGCAGATCGCCCCCCTACCTCTGGAGGGAGGGCAGGAGGAGGAGGAGGAAGAGGAGGAGGAGGAGGAGGAGGAGGAGGAGGAGGAGAGGAGGAGGAGGAGGAGGAGGAGGAGGAGGTGGCTCGTAGAGTCGCAGTGTGGGGGGGAGGGGGGGGCAAAGAGGGGGTAGGGAAAGGGGTCGGTACAAGATCTGCTGCATGCAGCTGGTCTCGGCCCCGCCGCGGGGCGCTGTCCCGAAGGCATTGGTGCCTCCGGCCCCGGGAGGCGCTGGGGGAATCGGCTGCGTGAGCTGTGTTGTTTCCCTGGATGGGACAATAATCGCACCCACCCTTGAATCCGCTGGGGGGGTTGGGCACGTGCTGTCGGCACGGGTGGAGGGGGGGTTGGAGGAAGAGGAGGAGGAGGGGGAGGAGGAGGAGGAGGAGGAGGAGGAGGAGGAGGAGGAGGAGGAGGAGGAATCACCCCTGGTTATGAAGGGTTGGCCCGGTAAGTGCATTCGAGCCGGTTCAGTCGTCAACGGGGGTGGTGTTAGTGGTGGAACGTTTCCGCCGTTATTCATCGTTCCAGGGGGGTCAATTTCGATCGGATCCCGGGTCATTTCTCCCAACTGGGGGGTCTGCCTGCACGCGATTTGTCAGTTGTCGGCTTCTGCTTCTGCTGCTGCTGCTGCTGCTGCTGCTGCTGCTGCTGCTGCATGCTGCTGCTGCTCCACGCTGCTGCTGCTCGCACGGTTCCAAGCGGCCCCCAGGGGCCCCCAAGCCCCAATATTTTTTTTTGACCCCTCTGGGAGCTTTTGGCGGCCCCCAAGAGGCCCCCAAAGCCTCCCAAGAGGCCCCCGAGAGGCCCTGAAGGCCCCCCAAGAGGCCCCCAAGAGGCTCCCAAGAGCGGCCCAAGAGGCCCCCAAGAGGCCCCCAAGAGCGCCCAAGAGGCCCCCAGGAGGCCCCCAAAATGATTTTGGAAATATGCGGAAATCACATTTCTCTAAGATTTCGGTAGACCCGCCGCTTCAAGGTTTCCAAGACGCCATATGGCTTCAATGGTTTCCAAGACGCTCTTGGGGGCTTTCGGGGCCTGTATGCGTGCTTGTCCTCTTGGGGGCTATTATGGCCTCTGGGGGTGGTTTGGGCCCCTGTCCAACGACTTGTGTCGTGCCAAGCCAGAGTGGTTTGCTCATGAGATGAGTTTGCAATACGTCAAACGTTTAAATAATCGCCGAAGTGGGGTGTTGCGTTTGAAGTTGGGTTGTTATTGTTCCAGAAACCCCCCATCGTGTGGCGCCGTTGGAATCGTTATTTATCGTTCCAGGGGGGTGAGTTAGTGTTAGTCAGGTTTGTCATTCGTCACGGCTGAGGGAAGGTTGAGCGTTTCGCGATTTATTTCTGTTATTCAAGCTTGCTGCGACCAGGGTCCAGCGTTGCGTTGCCGGGGGTGATGAGGAGGAGGAGGAGGAGGATGGAGGAGGAGGAGGGGGAGGATGACGTAGGGGGCGGGATTGGGCAAGCTCAATCGGGAGGTTAATCCCCCCCTTGAAATATACTCCATCCAGAGTTCTCCCCCCCTTACGAACACCCCTTTCGTCCGACCTGCCAGGTGGGATTAGTGACCGAGCCCGGCTGGGGACTCACGCTTTTTTTTTCGAAGGGCCATGCAGAGCGGTGCTTGTCTCTGGCCCGCCATGTGGTCCGACCCTTGGCGAGGAGGCCACGCGCACAGCGTGAACAACAGGCCCCTTCCAGGGCCTGGCTAGCGGGTCGTGGCTCAAGTCCACATCGGCGGCGAGCTTCCTCCTCCTCCTCCTCCTCCTCCTCCTCCTCCTCCTCCTCTGGCAGTCGAGGCGCCGATGTGGGACCACGTGGGGCGCAGGGGGGGCTCTGGCGTTCGGGGCGCTCTCCAGACCTAGGCTGCGGGGGGCCTCTGCGTGGCCGAGGCTCGCCGTGGCCAGGGAAGCCCCCAGGGCCCCAGAGCTTCTCTTTGTAGCGAGGTCGGGCATGCCACAGGAGGAACATTCAAAAGTATCGTTTTAACTTTCATTCGAGAAAAACCTAAAAAGTGAATGGTGATGATTTGACATGGGATCGGTAAAGAGATCGATAAGGAAATCGACCGGCGGGAACCCGGGAACCCGGAACCCACCGAAATCGGCCCGGAACCAATAAGCAGGAACCCGGGAACCCAGAACTTGGAACCCGGGAACCCAGCCGCCTACCAAAATCGGCGGGAAATTTGCGCCAAATCTTTCAATTTTCCGCTAGGACCCTTCAGTGCAAGCACTGATTGGGGAATGGTCTGGGGACAACTTTTTGATTCCTTGAATTATTCAATGGATCAACGGTTTGACTTTTTTTTATTTGTCGTTGAAAATCTGCCTGTAAGAGGACACATGCCCGACCTAATTGTAGCACGATGGTTGCCCGTGCATGGCAGGCTGCTGTTGGGCAGGCAGTGCGCGTTCCTCATGCCTCCGTCGCACTCCCCCCCAGAGCCCCTACGTCGTGATTATTTCGCAAGCTGGACCCCCAGAGATTTCGACCCATTCCCCACGACATTCGTTTCACCCCGAGTCGTTTTTGAAGGTCTCGGGGGGCCTCCAGGGTCCGAAATGGCTAGAAATTGTTCGCCGTGTTTCTTCACGACGCGAGGGGGCCTGGCCCCCTCCCTTCCCACCCTCCGAACTCGTGCGCAGGAATGGCCTGCAGTGGTGCGCCTCTGCTCTCCCAGCGCCGCGGCTGCAGTCTCGAGGCTCATAGAAGGCACGACGACAGCACGAACCCCAGGGAGGAGGGTCAGGCGCCGAACCCAGAGATCCGACGACGCGAAGAAAGTGCAACATCGTGAATCATCACGAGCAGATCCCTGGACCCCAAGTCCCGACTGCATTGTTCGGACCTGGGCCAATATGCGAGGGTCCCGGCGCCCGAAACCGGGCGAGAACACCCGCTGTGGAAAAGTTGTGATGTCCGGATCTCAGTCGACAACACGTAAGAGTGACCCTGCGCTGGAGTGACCTTTGGTGCGGGATCATCTGGGCTGGGCCCCCCCGACCGCGGAGCGCGACGCGATCATGGCTGCATGCGCGCTTGGGTTTGGCCACCCTGCGCCCCCGCAATCCGCGCACTCACCGTCACTCTTGCCTGGCGCCACTCTTGCGTGCAGCCGACCCAAAGGGCAAGGGGGGCACTTTTTGTGGGGCGGTTTTTTTCGTGGGAGAGGCGATCCTCGGACCGCGCCCCTGCCGGTCCGCCCCTCCGCGCGCGCGGCGCCCGCCGCCCCCCCCCCCGCCCGCCGGCGAGGGACCTCGGCGAGTGAGGGCGCGGGACCGCGGCCCGCGCGGCGCGCTCTCCGTCGGCGTGTGCGTCCCGCGCGGGGTGCCGCGGCGAGCGCGTCGGCGCAGGGCGGTGGGGCGTCGGCGCCCGTCAGGTCCAGGCAGCGCCAGAGAATCGCGGCGGCCAATCTGCTGTAGTTTTCCGACCTCCGGATGTCGTTTCCCGGCCCTCGGGCCGTCAAATCAGTCGATACGGACATCCTCAGATGAAGTGCATGTCAGCTCTTGGCGCTCCCGTCTGTGAGTGAGGGAGTCTTAGCCTGTGGCAACCGAGCGTTCCCTGGCTGCTCCTCCTTAGCGTGCTCAAGTGCTTCGCTACACCTGTTGTTTCGCGGTGATCAGGGGGTTCACAAGCAAACCGAGTGAGACATCCCCATCATCCGGGCGCGAACGGGCTAATATCCCCCTCCCTGGCGGCACCTCCTTGGGTGCCCAAATGCTTCGCCGGTGATCTCGCGGCGATCATGGTTCTCAAAAGCAAGGAAACTGGACCACCAAACAGGTAAACAGCTTAGGTCATCCCCGTAGTTTGGGCGCGAACGGGCTAATATCCCCCTCCCTGGCGGCACCTCCTTGGGGTATTCCCACAATCTGGGCGTGAACGGGCAAGTGTCCCCCTCCCTGGCGGCGCGTCCTTGGAGTGCCGGAATGTTCACAGGTGCTTTCAAAAGAAAGGAGTCTGGGCCACCAACAATATGGGCGTGAACGGGCACGTGTCCCCCTGGCGGCTCCTCAATCCTTGGGGTGCCGATGCGCAACAACTGCTATACCGCAATGATCATGGGGCTCTCCAAATAATGGGTCTGGGCCACCAAAACGACAAACCGATTGCGATATTCCCACAATCTGGGCGCGATCTGGCAAGTGTCCCACTACCCCGTGGTTCCTACTTGGGATGCACAAGTTCCATGCCTGCTGTAACATCGTGGTGGCCATGAAGCTTTCAGAAGATTTCCAAAGAGATGAGTCTGGGCCAACAAATTGGCAAACCGCACAAGATGGGCGCGTACTGGCAAAGGCTCCCTTCTCTGGCGGCTAATTAGCTCCTGGGGGCCCAAATGCCATGCCTGCCACGTTTAGTGTGAGCTAGTCTGAGCGTGAATGAGTCCGAATATGACTGAATATGTATGAGCGTGGTCTGATTATGACTGTGAGGCTTTGGGTGAGTCTGAGTGTGAGTGATTATGTGTGTGAGCGGGTCTGAGTGGCAGTGAGTCCGAGTATGAGTGAATCAAGGTATGGCTAAACTGAAAATGAGTGCGTATGACTGTGAGTGGTCTGTGTGTGAATGAATGTGTGAGTGAGTTAGTCTGAATGACAGTGGGTATGAGTGAGTCTGAGTATGAGAGGGTCTGAGTGAGTCTCAGTGTGAGTCTGAGTGTCAGCGAGTCTGAGTGCGAGCATGCCTGAGTGTGAGGGCGAGGAGGAAGGATGCGTGAAGGAGGAAGGAAGAAGGACGGAGGTATGGCAACGTTGTGTGCGAGGTCCCAACGTCTAACGAGGGTCAGCCAGCCCCCTCCGATCCCCTCTGGCCGACGTGGGTCTGGGAGCCGTGTGGAGCCGACGAGCCAGGATTGGGAGGCTGGCCAAGGTTCGCGACATGCCTTGGCTGACCCGTGTTAGACCGAACGGGGCTAGGACTAGGATAAATCCAGTCCAGAACATTCCGCAACGCTCTCAGAGCGTTCCAGAACGCGCTGAGAAGGCCGCGGCGCCCGAGACATCTTCCAGGGCCGCCAGATCTCAGAGATTCTCGATCCATCCGCGCCCGATATTTATCTTCGTCCTGACTTTGTCCAATTCAAGCGTTTAGCCTGGTCAGCCCGCCCTCGCGGATCCTTAGTTGCCTCGATGCGCATGTTTTGATACGCAACGCGCACCACGTTGTGCGCTGGCTCAACGTATTGGTCCACGTTTTGGCTAACGCATCGCGTCAGAGCTACGTTTTCAGTCTACGTGTTGAGCTCCGTATCAATACGCTACGTGTTGCGTGTTGAGTATCGGGGCAGCTAAGCGCGGATCTTGTCGGAGATCCCTTCCGCTCCCGCCGCGCCCAGCGCGTGAGAGCTGAGATCCCGGCGCCGCCGCAGATGTCTCGCGCGGATGTTGCGGGCGACAGGGCCCTTTGTTCAGAGCCGATGCGGGTCGAGGAGTGCCGCAGAGTCGAGGGTCTGGGTCGGCCAAGAGTTCGAGGCGGGAATATGTACATAACCACCGCCCAGAGGATCGATTTTCGCGGACCTTCACAGGCGGTAGATGCAGTCAACGCGCCTAGTACGGACGCCGCCTTCATCTAGGGTACCTTTGTGTCCTTGCCTCTGCGGCCCGTCCTTTGCCGTTATCACTGGCCTCTCTCTGGGTTAGGGTACCCTTGCGTCACTGCGGGTTTGGTCGCCCGCCGCCCAAAAAATCCCAACTTCGGCTTCCAAGGGTCTTGCGTTCTTGCCACCCCTCCTTAATGCACATGTTAACTGTATGCATACACTTTAGCCCCCGGGGCCCAAGTATGCCAATGTCCACCGCCCGCTGGGTCCCCAGGACGTCGGTTCCCTGGCGGTGGATATGGATAAATCCCCGCCTCGCAAAGAGGGGGGTGACGACCAGGGGGGTGCAGATGTTGTGGCTGGACCATGGTATGCCCCCCAGGTTTCGTGGCTCCCGCTTCCGCGCTTTTTTGGCAGCGATTGAGGGGGGGGAAGTGAGAAGGAGAAGGCCTTCGCAGAAGGAGGAAGTCGGTGAAGCCCTCGCGCCTGCTGAGAAGTTTTATTCCCTACCTAGGCTCTGCCTAGAAGGGTTCTTACTCTCTAGCTTAAAGGGGCCAGGCAGTGGAAAGCGCCCCGGGCGGTTCCCCCAGTCCCCGCCCCGCGGTTCCCCCAGTCGCGCCCCCTGGGTTCACCCAGCTTAGCTTAGCTAAGTTTAGCTTAGCTGAGCTTAGCTTATCTCATCTTAGCTTAACTTAGCTTAGCTTGGCTTAGCTTAGTTTAGCTTATCTTAGCTTATCTCATCTTAGTTTAGCTTAGCTTATACTAGCTTTGCCTAGCCTAATTTAGCTTAGCTTTAGCTTAGCTTTAGCTTAGCTTTAGCTTAGCTTTAGCTTTAGATTTAGCGTTAGCTTCGCTTTAGCTTAGCTTTAGCTTAGCTGTAGTTTAGCTTTAGCTTAGCTTTAGCTTTAGCTTTAGCTTAGTTTTAGCTTAGATTTAGCTTAGCTTTAGCTTATATTTAGCTTTAGCTTTAGCTTTAGCTTCAGCTTAGCTTCAGCTTAGCTTTAGTTTATATTTAGCTTAGCTTTAGCTTAGCTTTAGCTTAGCTTCAGCTTAGCTTTACCTCAGCATGAGCTTAGTTTTAGCTTATATTTAGCTTAGCTGTAGCTTAGCGTTAGCTTAGCTTTAGCTTAGCTTCAGCTTGGCTTCAGCTTGGCTTTAGCTTAGCTTTAGCTTAACTTTAGCTTAGCTTTAGCCTAGCTTTAGCTTAGCTGTAGCTTAGCTTTAGCTTAGCTGTAGCTTAGTTTTAGCTTAGATTTAGCTTAGTTTTAGCTTAGGTTTAGCTTAGCTTTAGCTTAGCTTTAGCTTAGCTTTACTGTTACTATTAATGCTGGCTTCCTAGGGGCTCCAACTCCTAGGTAGGGTCGCACTGGGATAATTCGTTTTCGGGATAAGTTCAGAAAATGTTTTAGGAGGCCAGAGGATTTCTGGGCCTTCTGAGAAGGCCAGCCCCTTCTCACTGAACCCCCCAGGCTCGCCGCCGACTCGGGCCTCGGATCATCATCTAAGAACCCCACTCCTGGACGCCGCCCTCTTGGACATCCCCGAGTTCCGCGGCGGATCTCAGGGTATGCCCAATCCTGGCGCCTTTTCCTGCTCTTGACCTCGGGGTGCCCTTCTTTTGGGGCCGCTGTAGCCACCAGAAATAGACCCAGGATGGCAAGCTGCCCCCGTCAGGGGCAACGATGGGGGGGATAGGCGCAGGGGGGGTGCTCCGACCCCTGATCGCCCATCGATCGCGGATAGGGGTCTGATAGCCCCACCCCGCCCAGGAACGATTCCCTAACGGGGGCCTATCGCCGATCTATCGGCGATGTATCGCTGATTCCAGGTCGACGTTTCCCCCCCCCCCGACGCCAGTCCCCCCCCCTATCGTTCCCCCTCACCCCGAGGAAGGAGAAGGGAGCTCCTGGTGCCTCGGATTGGAGAACTCGCCTTGTCGGGCGTGGTCCGCGTCCTCTCCCTCCCCCCCCCGTGCACCGGAGATTACCAGGAGCGTGTAGTTGGACCCCGCACTGCCCTGGAAGAGTGGCGCAGCTCTCGCGCGCGGTCCGTCTCCCCGCGCCCCTCACTTTCGATGTTCACGTGGGGCGCCGCCCGCACGGTTCGGTTCTTCTTTCGTCGGTCGCGGCTGACTCAACATTGAGATCGGGGGCCCTTCGGGGGTGGAGGCGAGCGACAACTTGGAAAAATGGTTCCACCACTTTTCCAGGGGGGATGCCCCGTTTGTGCCGCCACCCTCGTCAGTTCTTATCTCCAAGTGGGGGCGGGGGGGGCGGCGACGTCGGCGCTGGTCAGAGGCCCTCGTCGAGATTGCCTTCCCCTCCAAGCGCGAAGCGAGTGTAACCTGTGGGCCTGCCCCGTAGCCCTCGACAAATCTAACCTCAGATATTGTTGACGCGCCCCTGCAATGTCGCCCCCTTTTAACCCCGTCAACCTCGCCCCCTTCAATGTGGAAGCGGGCGAAACGCGGTCTGGGCCGGCGCAACTTGTAAGTTCCACGAAGAGCTATACTGGAGAGGGGGCGCCAACAAGCTTTTCACACGCAATGCCATCCATGCCCAGGACACCATATAGATACGTAAATTGCGCAACGCACGTTTGATGATAATTTCGTCGAGAGTAGTATGTTCCCCCACCTCAGCTCCCTCCTCCCCGTCTCTGTCAATTCACGGCCCCATTCGAGTCGTGGTGACGATCACCCCCCAAACCTCCTGGCCCGT